TGTTTGAGGAGGTATTTTAGGGGACATGGAGTTTCTCAGTTGAGGAGAGCATGGCACTGAAAGCATGGTAGCTGCAAAATTCTTGCCATTGGGAAAGCTTCCCCCCTGCTTTAAGGCAGTCCCTTAAAGAGGACTTGGGTAAGTACATTGTTAGAAAATTGTGACTTTGTGTTAAGTTATTGTTGATGTAATTTGTCAGATGTGGCTGGGAGGTGTGAAGTGCTCAACCTGGAAGAGATTTTGTTTCCAAAGCAAAAGCCATTGAGAATGTAGCGGTTGTTATGGAGCTCTGATGCAGAAGGGAAACCTCACTCACTCCTTAGCTCTGAAGTGAGTGCTGAACAAGATTGTTTTAGACTCCCATGGAGGTGAAAGTCATTCTAGTCACCCTAGCAGGCAGGTTCAGAAAGCCACCCTTGCATGCGGCTTTCTGAACCATGCTGCAGGCATTTAACTGGACTTTTATGTCATTTTATGGCATGTTTCCTTTCTTCTGTCCTCAGCAGAGAGAAGAAATGAAAATTCACCTTGTAGGAATTGTGCTCTCTGAATCAGTTGGTCTGTGTTCAGGGTCACACCGCCCCATGTCACTGTTGAAGGCTGCCAGCATCCACTGAGACGCACCCAGTCTTCACATGTCACACCTATTCCAGCCAAAATTTACATCACTCCTGGCAAGACTATTCTGTAGAGTGTATTAGATCTCAATGGCTGGAAACATCCTCCTAAGGCTAAGGCTTTCTCTACACTAGGAAGATTTTGATAGCTGTTCCAATTAGAGCACTAAAGACAAATATTAAAGGGTTTAAGGTGAAGAATGATAAATTTATGGAAAGTCCTTTATGATGGGATCACAGGGGAATGAGGCCAATGCCACAGCCCTGTGTCCCTTATTCCTAAAATCAATGACAAGCTAAAAAAAGAAAACCCTATGCTGAGTTTGTTGTATCTGTCCTTTGGCCATCTGACCAGAGGGCAGAAAACTCCAACTCGGCATCAAATCTGGACGCTGCTTACAAGTTTTGTTCTAGATGCAGACGGCACACTTCTACCCCTCCATCTCTGCCTGCATTGCTGGAGGGTTACACGCTCCTTTCTGTCCGGGGTCTTACCTTGCAGTCACACCCTAGCACCATTCCCATGTACCAGGTTAAGTTAGCGCATGTAAGTAGTTGCTTTCAGCAACTGTAATGTCAAGGATGGTAAAAGTCAGTGAGCTTTTTGGCATGGGTTTCCTTGCCTTTCCCTCCTTCAGAGGCTGAGCGGATGTTTTTTTTCTCCTTACGCCAGCAATCCCTCCAAACCCATGGAAATCTCAAGGCAGCAGTGTGGCTGTGCAGGGTGAAGCATCACTAGCTTGAGGGACAGCACCAGTCTGAGCTCAAAAGCCACTGAGCAATGGGAGAGAGACTTCCTTGGAGCTGGAGCATGCTGGTGAGGGGACACATTTACCCCACTGCAAGTTGTGTCTCTGTCTCCCTGCAGTAGCAGCAGAAAGAATACCTGTGAAAACACCTGGGAAAAGTAGAGAAACAAGACCCAGGCTAAATAATGACTAGCAACACCAAGACCTTTGAACCTGGTTCATACACAACTCATGGATTTCATTGTGTGCAGCAGTGTTTTCTTCATAATCATTCAGACTGGTTTACATGACCACTGCTTGACTCCCACCATTCAAAACAACTTTTTTTTTTTAATTCCTTTTTTCTTTATTTGGACAATATATATACATATGTACAAAAACATCTACGCCTACTTTTTTTTTTCCTTTTCTTTTTTTTACAATTTCATGTGATTTAAAAAACAGGACAGCAAAATAATTTATAAAGGATACGAATACTGTACAAAAATAAAACTGATTGAACTGTTGGAAGTTGGTACTTTACAGTGTTACAGATCACACTACTCTGTAAAACAGCATTTTGAAGTATGTGTCCAGTCTGGTGTATGCTGGGCTAAGTCCATCTGCAAACTGAAAAGGATCTGTAATACAGGTCATGAAAAACTGTTCAAAACCAAAATATGTTATATAGCTATACCTTTAAAGCCATGACTTCTCTATAGTAAAGGACTTTCTTAACCAAGGAGAAGAGCTGTCCTAACTGCAGCACTATTAAGTATTTCCAAAATAGTACAAGTACATACGGTATTAGAGAACCTGATATTCCTTTTCTTTTCCAACACTTGCAACACTCTTCAAAACTTACCTTCAAGATGCAAAGAACTAACCTGCAGTTTGTTTTATGCGTTAGAGCCATTGTTTGCTTTTACCAAAAGAAAAAAACCCCAAACCCCAAATGAACAAAACAATAAAACAAAATCTCCAAACCTGATTATTCCCAATATATTCTGTTAGTGGTTAATGATTGCATTAATCCCATCTGTCCAGTGCTGAAATACAGCATATGTTACAGCAAATGGGTTACCATTTAGGAAGGGTTTTTTTCAGAAACAGGATCTTGTCACATGCAATGATCATATGTGCCTGTACATCCCATTGTCCCATAGACCAAAGGACCCCCTGCCTATTCGTTCTTTCAGCCTTTGCAGGAATGATGATGTTTCTTTAAATGTGCATTCTACCCCAAATACACAAGATGGAAACCATAAATCTGGCCATTGACTTCCATGTATAGGTTAATCCTGGTAGCTAAGTGACCAAAACATCTAGGTACTGATTTAGGAGCTGCTTATCAGCTGTGGCTTCCCACTGTGGTTGATAGGATGTGAGGGTGTCTTGTATTTCACAGGATCAGGCCCTAATTCTCCACATGCTGTGTTTGTCCTACAAAATGGCAACAATCCAGACTACAGGACAGACTCAGAATTTTGCATGATCTTCAAAGAGAAGAATGAAGATGAATGTGCATGTGCCTTTGAATCTCACCAGGCTACACGTGGCCCTGACCCTACTCAACAAGGCAGCATTAACAGTACTGGTAAGGAGAACACTTTCTGCATTTCTAGATCAAAAGAAACACCAAGGCTACGTATTTTTATTAGGAAGAACGTATGTCTCTACGACTCAATTTGGACACCAGAAATTAAAAGTTTGGTTTCTAAATAAATGTTTCAAAAAGCTGAAACAGAGGTAGAAAGTGTGTTTGGTTTCCTGATGTCTTCACTGAAGAAAACACATCCCTTTTTACTCCACAGACTGCTCAATATCCCCAATGCCTTAAAAGCAGTTCTCTTCACATAGACGGAATTTATCATGAACTACACAGTAAAAACACTATATGCAAACTGATTTCTAATGCTGAAAGACTAATACAACTGTAGAAGAAAACACTCTAACTCTCTAATTTTTTTATTTTCATTTCTAGGAAGCAAGCTTTTTATCAGGTAAAACAGTAAGATACTGTAATTGCAGGTGTACTAACAAGATTTTTTTTATGTACAGAATTTTACAAGATGACCTAAATTCATCTGCAGTGGAAACACTTTGGGTTTCAGTGTGATTACTCACGAGATGAATTTGGCCCTAAATCTCTATAGTAGGGCTGCACCTCCCATTCCTCTTCTGGAGGAAGGGGTAAAAACCAAATAGGAGAAGAATGTTTCCGGAAAAAATAATGCGTAAACAGAATTCTCCCCCCTTTATGCAGCTGGGGAGGGGGGGAAAAAAAAATCACCGATAACCTCTTACAGTTCATGCTTTTAACATTAAAAAAAAAAGAAATACTCAGCTAATGACCACGACTTAAAAGTTTTCCTTCAGTGATTGTTTTGCTCCTCCTAAAGAGCATAAAATATTTTAAAAATAAAAGTAATATTGCCTTTATCAGTGTTCGATGTGCCATGCATGATAAGGGTACAACACAAAGTACCAAGAGAAGCTTATGTCATAAGGAGTATTGCGACACACCCTCCATGCTGTATTTCCAATTAGCTCATGGTTTTGCCCCCATACTCTACAGAAACAGCGATCAAGAGATACAGGAGCCCTTCCAAAGTACTCCTTACAGTAACTTCAGCTGCTTCCATTAGCAGAGTGCTCTTAAGCAAAGGTCTACCCTCTCTGTAAGCACACACAACTCCCATAGGATGCTGCAGGAGTTAGGCAAGGGTATGAAAACAATAAATCTTTAAGGCAAGTGTAGGAAGAGAAAAAGCCTTTAAAAAAGCAGCAGTTTATAAAGATGGTGGCTGCTGTTAATGCATCCATTCAAACAAAACACAGCAGAATAAAGCACTGTTAGTGGCATTTCTATAGTACAGTACTGTATTTATTGACAGATTAAAAGTATAGGATCAACTGAGAGACGTATGCTTCTGCTCCCACATCCCCACCACATTATCTAGGCTGATTTGTATTTTTCCAGGTAAGTGAATAACAGAGCTAAATACACATATGGTCAGAAAATGACTGAGCTGTTGTGGGGGTTTTTTGCTTTAAGTATCTTCTTGAATTATACATGTTTTTACTGGAAAAGTGCAGCTTATATTCAAAAGTATAGTTAATACAAAGAAAAGATAAAAAGACCCTTTTACTTAATGGGCCTTCTTGAGTATAAATTCACCTTATCTCAGTATATCAATCAGACGCTATTAGTAACATACGTAATGTTTCTCTTAACAGTCTTTTTAAATGCAGGATAGTTCCGAGACAGAAGTAAACCCACTTCTACAATGTGCTATGGAGTTTCTATCTGAGAGTTATTTATGTGACTTGGAAAGCGGTTTTACTTGACAAACTCTAAATACAAGCAGCATTACACTGTTCAACGAAACATGTTCATGACACGGCAATCACAAAGACCTTGGGGTCATGCTACTGCGGTGGCATAGGCCAGACCATGGCAGTCAGACGTATGTACACCAGCATCAATGCTTTACATCAGAGGAGGTGACCACCTCCTCTGCTGGCCATCCCTTCGCTCCTCTCACCCCGCAGTCCACTTGCTCCAGACCGCTCTTCCCAGCGCAGGGTGGGGAGGTGGAGTACGGGGAGAGGGGCACGGGGTACTTTTTATTTTAATTTTTTTTTTTTTTAAATGTTGGCTATGTGTGCTTTCGGACGGTGAGGGCAACCGGCACCACTGCCTGCATCCTCGCCGCAGCTCGCCTCCCCCCCTCTCCCCGCCCCGGGCCAGCCCTGCCTTCACAAGGAGCTGCTGGAGCTGCACTTTTTGGATCGCTTGATCATGCTGGGGTGAAACTCGGTGTGGCGGCGGGCGTGCTTCGTCAGGTGGTCGCTCCGCATGAACCGCTTCTCGCAGAGGGGGCACCGAAACTGTTTCTCGCCGGTGTGGGTTCGGTAGTGCCGGGTGAGCTCGTCGGAGCGGGAGAACTTTTTAAGGCAGTCGGGCCATGTGCAGGGGAATGGTCGCTCGCCTGCGGGGAGGAAATGATGAGATTTAGGGGGGGCGGGGGTAATGCAGGCCAGCACGTACCATCTTTGCCGAGGAGCCAGGGAACATGCTGCTGAGGGGAAAAAGCTGCTTTTGTTTCCTGCCGCGGTGCCAGCATCTGCGGAGTTGTTGATGACTCGCTTCATCAGGTTTCAGTCTCACCTCCAGGAGAAGCCAAAACCCCCTCCAACCACACGAAACTCGCACTCCGGTGCAGAACCTTGCATGACCCCAAAGACTGTCAAAACAACAGATGAGCTCTGCCTGTGCCTGTACATTTTTCATGTCGGGCTCACTACGGCGGTTTGGGAACAGACTGCCAGTATTATTCCTCTGACACTTCCATTCTGCTGAATAAAATAATTTGTAACCGTTATAAAAGAAGCCAAAAAAAATCTCTCACCTAGGACAAGTCATTCCAGCCGGGGGAGAACTGAGTGGGGAGGGACTGGGGAGAGCAGTGCAGCCTTGGGGCTGCACACATGTAGAGTAAAACCGCCGCAGCTGCAGGGAGAAGTCCCATTCCCCGCTCTCCTCTCTTCCCCTAGAAATCCAAGCTGCTCCACAGAGTATAGCTCTCCCCTCAGCTGCTTAGATGGCTGGTTTGAAGACAGGAAAACTACTTCATTATTCACAGCTCTAACAGTATAAATGTTTGCTACGATAGTGAAGAACCAAACCAGACAACTTCACCTAAATCACACCGCACCTTTGCTTTTAAAAACAAGGATGTAAGGATTGAACAGCACTTACTGTAATCTTCCTGGCACCCCGCATCCCTGCAGCTCACCTCTGCGGGTTGCACAGGCTGTGCCTACAGGCACAGACCCAACACCTCCTGACAGGCAAGGCTGACCCTAGTCCATGGCACAGATGGAAATCAAAGGCATTTAAGTCCACACGAAAGCTCTGAGTCACAGAAATCATGCACCGCTGCAGTTTGATGCCTCAATTCCCTTTCTTAAGTCTCCTGCAGGGAATATAAATGACAGCTATGTGACAGCTATTTATAGTCAACCATGAAACATAAAAACTATCCCAGGAGTTTTCCATCTTGAAAGAGTTGGAAAGAAACTCAAGAACTCCAGTATTTCTTGGTACTGTGAAGATCGGCACAACAGGTGAGCTCGCTTTACATTTATGGACTGTAAAAAGAGGAGTCATTTACAAGAAAGTGCGCCCTGGAGTCCTCTCCAGACACAACAGCAGTAACAAAAGGCTAAATAAAGCCTTGAATAAACAGCCCTGACACCAGGAGGACAACCAGCAGCAGAAAGCATGGCAGAGCTGTAGAGAGGAGAAAGGGCACTGGGGGGTGTGACTGGTGGCATCCAAAAGACCAAGGAGGTTGAGGACAGACCAGGTATGTCGAGATGTAGCTACACCACAGGCCCTGAAAGCCCTAGTGAGCCTCTTTTAAATAACGCAGCCATTTTCACAGTTTAGGCTCCTAATGATACGGTGCTCCCGGACAGGCGGCTGCTCCATCCCAGACTGATCAGCGTGCAGTAGAACTGCAGCCGGACAGGCAGGACCACGCAGGTTACAGCAGCCTCTCGGGCAGCCACAGCACGGCTGCTTCCCCGGGCTTTCCCTCCTCACCTCGCAGCGATGCGGGTCCTCGGTGAGGGGAGAAGGACGCAGAGAGAGACAGTCCAGCCTGGTGCCCGAGCTCGGTGGTGGCACAGATGCCAGCCATCCTGACCCGGGGCTATTTTTTTTAATAAACAGGTTTCTTGGCTCCCTGCTGTATGCTTTTAGACATGGTTGGAAGTCCTTCCAAACAACCACCGCCTGCTTAAAATAAATTAATTAAAACAGTACGTAGACTTACACAGGCATGAAGGCCACAACCGCAGCTACACGGCTGAGCAGCACCGTAAGCTGCACAGAGCACTTGCATCAGTGCCCACCATCCTCCCCTGGCTTTGCCCTGCCCGGCGCCCACCCTCGGCATCTGAAGCAAGCATTTCACTTGCGCTGCTCTTTTGCTATCGATCTCACGGTTTCTGTCACAGCTCCCAGAAGCAGGCACCAGTGGGAGGTGCAGAACAGCCTTCTAGCTCCCCCCCGGGAACGTGGGAGAAGTGCTATACATCTTGCATGTGTGAAGGCACCTAGTACATGGCTCTATGTCAGGCACTTACGCCCCGGAGCAGTGGGAGCAGCTCAGGCATCCCACCCCACCCCCAGAAGCTGTATTTCCAAACCTCTACCTCAGGACAGCTCTTCAGGCCATGTAAGTGCCTAACCATCCTACAGGGAGACCAGGTGCCTAGGCTGGAAAACAAGGATCACAGTCTTTGGGGCGCAGCACCTACATCTTAGGCGCAGTAGTATCCAGCCCGGCTGCCTAAAAGCAGCATCTTGAATCTGGCCCCAAGTGGCCCTCAAGAAACTAGGCTTCCCCCTGCCCCCGCTTCCCAGAACTGCAGACAGGAAGACAAAATAGAGCCTGATTACTGGAATTCCCTCAGAAACACGATGGGAGTCATGCGACCTCCACCATCGCTACCCCGCGCTCCCACTTCATGTGCCAGGGGAAAGCGCTTTTAGGCTATGCAGCGTAACCACAGAGCTTTGGGGAAGGGCAGGGTTCGGTCAGGATCCCTTGTGGACGCTCGGCACTGCGATCCCCAGGGAACCCGCCCGCAGCTTGGTGCGGGGAGCATGCCGGAGGCCACGGGGAGCCTGGCATGGCGGAGGCATGCCCTGCTGCTGGCAGGAAGAGCCGCCGCCGCCGTGTACCGGGATGGCAAACGCAGCAGAGACGGCTGCTGGAGACGAGCGGCTGCGCTCCCTCAGACGCACAAGAGCTACCAGCGGCACCTGCCGCCCACCGCCGAGCCCCCAGGTACAGTAGCAGAGAACAGCTTCACCGCCTCAGCAATACAAGCCCACGGAGGCTGTCACAGCCACTTTGGAAGCACGTATATGAAAGTAGGCCAGGCATAATCCCCGGCACCAGGGCACATGAAACTCCAGACTTCTCAGAGCAGAGAGACAAGGGAGGGGGGGGTGAAGCTTTTCCGGGCCCTCAGGGGTTGTCTCTGAGCCTGAAGATCTGCTGCTCCCCTCGGTCACGAAGCTGTAACGGATGACGCCAGCCCAGAGGGACGGTGCTTCCACAACAGACTTCGTAGGTGCAGAGGAGGGGCGCGGTGTGTGTCCACGAGGCTTCTAAGGCAAGGTACAGATGCTGGATGACATGTGATGATTGTCCACTCAGCAAAGCTGGTCACTGGATTTGCTGGTTGCATTTGACACACTATTTTTTAAAGCAGCAGAGGTATTTGTGGAAGAGTCCACTGAGCAAACAGGTCTGGCAACTCTATGCAGCCCGGCTGCAACGGCCCACTGAGCTGCAATGCAAGCTAGTGCTGCCTCCATCTGGAGAGAGTGGATTTCTGTATCACGTCTCAGTCAAGAAACACTTTTTCCATATGATTTTTCCCCTTTAGTTTTGGGAGTATTAATGTTAAAGCTTAAAAGGAGCAGAATGAACCATGAAAACAGGGTACTATTATAGACTGTTTTCTTTGGTGTCAGTATGCTACTTATGTTTTAAGACATGCCTTAGATGGGATTTCCATCAAGAGATGAAGGAATGGCCAATGGTGTATCAGAGTACCTTAAAAATATGTGTGATAGGATCTGAACACAAGAGATACAAGATGTAAATAATTTTCTTTAAAAAGATATACATATATCCAGGGCAGCTTACAGAAGTAACAAGTGAAACAGAAACTGATTTACAGGTTATAGGACTAGGTGCATCTGCAGAATTCCCATTCTTTGTCCTGTGTGCCACCAGGAATGTAGTGGGAGATAGAGTTTGTGCTGAGCACAAGCTAATGGTGGCTCTTTACAGGTCTTCTCTGGAGTCTAAAGAACTCCTGCAGCCCTGGCTTGCTGTAAATCCCACATGGATATAAAGGCCATTGCGGATCCTTTCAATCTTTGCTCTCTTGCTTCACCTGACCTTTTCTCCCTGTTCCTTCTCCTCACCCTCTACCACAAATGGCTAGTTTCTTCTTTCTCTGTGAGTTTAAACTCAGCATCCAAACTGCTTGTGTGACCTGAGGCAGGTCCACTTTATTTTACTCCATTTCCATTTTATTCTGAATAGACAGTAAATTACTTAGCTTTTTTGCCCTATCCTGGGACATTCTGGATTTTCCCACATTGTAGTCTTGTGCAGCAAGGGTTTCTGAAAAAGAATACAGAGTGGGCATTAGCAGACTCGTTAATGGTACAGGTAGTACTAGTATCCCAATTCATCATCTCTATCCTCACTACAAATTGCTGCTTTAGATGGGGATGACCGAAGTTAGGAGCTGCAGTTCATGGTGGCTTTAACAAAGATGAATTTGTTTGGACAAACAAGGGATAGAGAAGTTCTGAGTCACTTTTTTTTCCTGGCTGGGGGAAGACTGTGTTTGAAAAAGCTGAAGACAAAGTTTATGATCACACACTTGGGCTATTTCTTGGTGTGTAACAGGACATGCACTAGGCCTGGAGCACACTGAACTTCTGTGGTGGAATGAACTTTCAGGTTAATTACTAAAATTGCTTGAGCGCTGGCCTTACAGAAGATATTCAGAGGTTGCTGTTGGTGTGGACGAAAGTCTGGCCAAGATGAACAGTTTGCTAGGCTCACACTGTGTTCACAGAAGTGAGGTTGGATACAGCCATGAGTCCAGAGTCTGGCATCAGTACTAGCTAACACACAACAGTCTGCCATCAAATGATGCTAATGACACTGCTTCACACATTAACTAGAAAACAAATGGACTGTAGCTACAGCTGCGTGAATGTATACCTCATTAGACACCCCTGACTGACCTATGTCATTGAAGATGAGACCACCAAGTGCATGGTGGGACTGTGCTGCCTAGTATTCATAGCATCAACTATTTTGAGTATCAAAACTGAAAAATGGTTCAGCGTTTGTCTTCTGGGATGTGGTGTCTGCACGTAGCTCCCACACTCTGCCCAGCTGCTGACATGGCACAGCTAGCCAGTAACTCCTGCTCCAGGGACGTCCACCCTGCCTGTGGCACCTACCCCGCAGCCCAGCCAGGCTGGACTGCAGCAAGGCTGACCCCTCCTGCCAGAAACCTGAAGCAGCTGACGGGAAAGAGGGAGAAGGGAAAGCACACAAATACAGAAAGCCCAAAGAGCAAAACCCCTTGCCACTAGGCGAGAGCAAAACTACTTAGTAAAACAGGACAGGCATAACCAGCTCCGCATAGTTCAGATGAGAGAATCTAATCCCCACCTTCATCTTCCAAGATCCTCCTGTACCTCTGTGGCTGCTGGAGCTTGAAATTTCCAGAGAAATCTTCGTACTCTAGGAATAACTGGTCCTGAACCACAATCCTGGACTTAGAGATGACACTGATAAGCATTTCTTTTTTTTTTTTTTTTCTCCTGTGATCCCACTCAGCCACCACTCTTGAGTGTCTCATGAAGTACGACGGGTTCTACACATGGATGTCAAGAACATGGTCCAGCTTATTGCAAGAGGCAAAAAAAAAAAAAAAAAAGGCAGGCAAGCTATCTTCCTTGCTGCAGAACAGCTGCTATCTCAGAGGTCTCTCACTTTTCCCCCCCAGTGCGATCCTTGCCCCACACACCCAGAATGAGCAATTGCCTGTGGGACACTGGATTTTGTCTTAGTGTCCACACGCAAGATACTCTGGTGAAGATGGATCTCACAGACATCTCTGCATCCACTTCAGGGCAGAGAGACCAGAGGCCTTTCAAACAGACTTTTTCCTCTTCTGAGATATTCCAAAACCAGATCATTAAAACACATGGCAACCACAAGGTACAGATGCCACTGCGAAACAGCACAGAGCGAGATCAGCAGTGAGGATGCTGGGTACCATGTGCCTAAACCGAGGGTTTCTGCAACACCTAAACTGTGGCCATCCGGTCTGGCAACAGATCAAACAGACACTGCCTACAGGATAGGCAACGGATGGATGGGTTGCAGCAAGGGGTTTATTCTGCCAGCACCAAGGACTAAAAACCAGAGGATGATTCAGGTGTTAAAATGCTGCTTTCAGCAAGTATTTAGACTAATCTGACATCCTCAAAACCACCACTCAACAGCTGCTTGCACATGCAGGTGTTTCAGTCTCTTTCAAAAGACCAGATGCAAAACCACCTGCGAAAACACACCGCTGCTGGGAGTCTAAATCCCAGCAAGACTCAGTCTTGCTGTTACCCCCTGGTGACACAGCATCGGATGCAAGGGATATCCTTAACAGCTTCTGTGCCAGATCACAACATCACAACCCTCCCTGCCTGCCTTACAAAAGGCTTTCTTTGGGGCACTGTGCCTCCTTTTATATATATCAGACAGGGAAGCTACCTGGGAGAGACCCCTCCAAACCTCACCAGAGAGTTAAATCTACACTTTCATAGCTGACAGGAGTGCCCTCAGCAGTACACTCTTGAGTACGTGGGACAAGTTCCTACCTCTTCTCCTTTCCTATCTTATCTCCATTTGAACTTCCTCTGTTTTGCAGTAATACTTAAATATTAACCAAGCAATGGAGAGAGACTGACTCCTAGCCTGATGCTTAGGGCACTTACCTGGGATTGAAGAGCACTGGGTTTACACTCCTGCCCTGTCTGAATGATTAAATGCTCGCTAAGGGGAAACAGCTTTGACAGGGAAAGGACGAATGCAATTTTATGTGCATTCAGAAAGATAATACAACTTTTGTTATTTCACTACGGATTTATTAGACAGCATTTCAGCAGACTTTTCCCTCAAGTTTAAGGTATTTACAGAGTGCTCTCAGGCTATTCACAGTCATCGTTACTTGAATATAGATGGTGAGCTATGCTACCAAAAGTAAACAGTATCTGAAGTGTGCTTTGCCATCACTACCTCAGACTCTGGCCGTTCCATCATAACTTGGCCCCTCCCTGCTCTTCCAGCTGCAGGTCTGGGAGCTGTGCAAAGCCACAAGTGGCAGCCAGCTGCCCAACAGCACAGCAGCTGACGAAGGGGAACAATCATTCCTGCAGGGATCCTAACAGCTGGGGCTGCAAGACACAAAAGCTAGCAAGAGCAGGTGACACCCACCACATAGTCTTCAGTGCCACAGCACAACAGTGTGCAGGAACTTGGTAAAGCTGCATTTTCAATACATCCATGTGGAAACCCGAGTCACACTCTTACGGGTGATGCCTGCTCACTGCTTCTGTCCTACATGTGCAACTTCTCTACATTGACTCAATTCACATACAAACCTTTCTGGAGTGCTTTTCCACTGTGACACATACACCTGCTTAAAGTTTTTATTTTTTAGGAGGAAAAAAAAAAAGAAAACAAGGAGTCAGGCAAAATTGAACTTAATCTGGAGGATTTTTGCCTACCTTACTCAGCTGGCAAGGCTTCCAGTCAGTATGATCGTGCTTCTCCCAGACCTGGAAACATGCTCATTAGAACTCCAGCAATTTGCACATTTGCATTAACCCTTGAGAATAGGTGTTTCAGATGGAGGTCTGAATTTAGGAAAAAATGTCCTGCTGGCTCCATTTTCTGCTCTTCAGTCTTACTCTAAAGGATCTGGCAAAATAACATCGCATAAGCTGGATAAGAGGGGCTTAAAATGCTAAATTTCAGATTATACTCCCACAAAATACCCAAAAAAGCTCCTGGTGACCAGAGGCTTGTCAACGTATCAACATCTGTACAGTCTGTTGAGCTAGTGATAATCTAGAACACAAAAAACAAAGCAGCACAGTCAAAACCAAACTGATGCAGGGGCTGGATCAACGCTGTGGTATCTAGATTGCAGCACTAGGCAGCTGCAGCACTTATCTTTCCTTTCTACCAGAAATGCTCCTCAGCTTCACTGTGCAGACGGCCAGCCTACAGGTCCACGCCTCTGCCCACAGCCCTGCTACCAAACACCAGTGAGAGCCAAATGCCAGGAGAGCGCAAGGCTGCAGCAGCTGCCCGATGAAACAAAACTCCTGGTATTGTTCGGACCCGGTCTACACAAGGATGCAGTTGGCTGAAAAGCCTAGCTGAAGAGGGAGAACTTCTCACCCATTTGGTTTTTGTGTGTCTGTATTAGGTTTGTGTGGCAAGGTTTTGGTAGTGGGGGGGCTACAGGGGTGCATGGCTTTTGTGAGAAGATGCCAGAGGCTTCCCCCATGTCCGACAGGGTGAAGGCCAGCCGGTTCCAAGACGGACCCGCCGCCGGCCAAGGCCAAACCCATTGGCAACAGTGGTAGCACCTCTGGGATAACATATTTAAGAAAGGGAAAAAAAATGCTGCAGAACAGCAGCCGAAAGAGAGGAGTGAGAACATGTAAGAGGAACAACCCTGCAGACACCAAGGTCAGTAAAGAAGGAGGAGGAGGAGGTGCTCCAGGTGCTGGAGCAGAGATTCCCCTGCAGCCCCTGGTGAAGACCATGGTGAGGCAGGCTGTCGCCCTGCAGCCCAGGGAGGTCCACAGTGGAGCAGATATCCACCTGCAGCCCAGGGAGGACTCCACGCCGGAGCAGGGGAAGAGGGCGATGAGTCCTGCCCCTGAAGAGGATGAAGCAGCAGAGACAACGGGTGATGAACCAACCACAACCCCCATTCCCTGTCCCCCTGTTGGGGGGTAGGTAGAGAATTCAGGAGTGAAGCTGTACCTGGGAAGAAGGGAGGGGTGGGGGGGAAGTGTTTTAAGATTTTGGTTTACTTCTCGTTACCCTACTCTGGTTGATTGGCAATAAATCAATTTTCCCTCAGTCGAGTCTGTTTTGCCCATAAGAGTAATTGGTTGAGTGATCTCTCCCTGTCCTTATCTTGATCCATGAGCCTTTTGTTGTATCTTCTCTCCCCTGTCCAGCTGAGGAGGGGAGTGATTGAGCAGCTTTGGTGGGCACCTGGCATCCAGCCAGGGTCAACCCATCACAGTGTCTAACCTCTTAATTCAGGGTACCTGATGCAGACATGAACTTCCCATTGATCCGCAGCGCCACATGCTGAGAAGCATCTGGGATTTGCCTCCCCAGGCAAGTAAACTCCTACAGGTCCTATAGGAGGAGGCATCTCAAAAACTAGCTTTACGGTACCTTCTCTGTCCCTCTTTCCTGACCAGGAGGGTCTGCTCTCAGCAGCCACATGCCCTTTAACTGGCTTGTATTCACACCATCATAGCAAGCACACATTTCTTAAAGTTTGTTTCTCCCACCAGTTTCTCTCCTTCTCCCCGTCGGTATCTTGCCCTTTGATCCACACTCCCGGCCCAGGCCTTCTGACTGAGATTGCTTGTTTACTCTCATATGCCTTTACTTTCCCTGGAAACCCCCCAGCCTGCACATCCCTCTCTGTTAAGCTGCTCCCCCTGTCTCCCGGCATCTTTGAGGCTAGTAATAACTCTACACGTTACCGGCCATAATCGAATCTCTAAAACTACCTATTTAGAGAAGTCTGTGCATTTTCAAATTAGCTCCCTGCATAGTTGCTGTTGCTTGCCACTTGCTTGGTCAGCTGAGTCCCTCGCCTTCTCCTGACCACTGCACCGCTTCCAGGGCTCCGGTCTCATGTGTGTCTTGCCAATGCATCTGGGCCGCCTTCTAGGCTCTGAAGGGAAAGTGTTCAAGACTTGGTCATGCCATCTCAATGCTCAAGACTCCCAAGCAGACACACCACTCGTAATCTCTCCTGCCACCGCCAAACTTCACCAGCATTTGTGAGTCCTATACTCCCACAACACCATCCCACAAGGGATGGCGAAACCTAAGTTGTGGTCATGTTGTACAGCTATCCCTCCACCTGCCTTCCCGACAAACAGCTTTTGGCTTACGAGCCTTCAGGGATAAAGCCGTCTTTTCTCTCCTACACCAAGTGCCACGCACCTCGGAGATGCTACTGGAAACAGCTCAGGCAGAACAACCTTACCTGTAACGCTCTTCCTGCTCAAGACACCAGAACTTAAATAATAAATGCCAAGTTACTTTTGGATGGTAGTGAAGGGACAGGGGAGGCAATAGCTCAGTTTCAGTGGTATGCTTCTCCTTGTATCCCTGGGCCTTTGCAAGTTAATATGTTTTCAATGTAGGTACACATACACGACAGAATGAAGAAGGGCCCGATCGTATCGCAGAAACAGCAGGAGCCTGGCGAGGAATGAAAGGACTATCCCCCCAGGAAGGGGCAGAGTTCAGACTTCCTTGGCTTCCTCCTACAAATCCTGATCTACTAAGTCAGGCTGAGTTCAGTAGGATTGGCAGCACAAGCAAGGGGGCTGTTTGCACAAGTAGGATGCGCAAAGACACTCACTGACCTTTTTCTGTTAAGATCATCGCAGAAGACAATTTCTGATGGATGGCTATTTTGGGTCTTCTGGAAATTGAACTAGAGTCATCATCAAAGGCCCAAGCTTCAAGCAAACAGTTATACAGATATTTTTAGTCTCTGAAATATGGAATGCCTTTGAACTAACAAGTTTAAAGAATCATTAATAAGATACAGACCTCTAACCTCTGAGCATCAAGGTTCTGGTCTTCTACTCTTCTACCTTTAGTTGGTATTTCATTTTTTGCTTTGCATTAGCTTACCAAAGACGATCTGGTGAGTTTTTAGGTTCCTACCATTACACATCACACAGAGCAGTATCCAGAGCTTTCCAACTTACTTGGTTAGTATCTGTGAGTAAAGAGAGCTGTGGCTACAAGCAAGCTCACGGGTGTGAGCGGAAATCCATTTTCCAAGACAGAGAGACTGGGATTTTATATTAAAAATTTAAGACCAGGAAGCTTCTACTGGTGGCTGCGTGCCTACTTCCACTAAACGCTACCCAGCGGTAAGAAACTCAGTTGGTGGCCCAATGAAAAATGGCAGGTAGATGAAAGCAATTCAAGGGGCTCAGATATATGACAGAGAAATTACCTGGGAAAAAAAGAAAGGAAAGGAAACGGTACTAAGGAGGGAACATTAACGCTCTGCAATACGCAGTTATGAATAACTCCAGAGGTCCCACTGAATCCCACTGTTGCTAAGGAATTGTTCTGCCATCTATAAAAATAATTAACATCGGCAGTATCGTTTAGCATTTCAGTTACCTACAATTAACTGTTCACATTAGGAAGCTCTGAAAGTTCATTACTGCTAGATGTCTGTAGTGGTTTTAATCACACAGAACTACCGTGACGGTACATCAGCACATCTGAGTCAAACTTCTCATACTTGGAGCTAAGGCCACCCACTTGTGAGCAGCACATGCTAAACCGCACGCCACTTCAGGAGGTACTTATTATAACACTACTGCTTACAGCAAGCCGTGTGGGTTGTACAGTACATTAATTTACATGTCATCACCCAGAACGCTATCCCAGTCGATGTCTATTTTCGTTCCCAAATCGAGGTGGATCTCTGAGCACGGGGTATTAAGTGGAAATGATGCTAATGCATTTTCTTTATCACTTATCAGCCAACATTTTGCAAGGCATCAGTTACATCTGGCCTCCAAAAGAGCATCAGAGCTGCAGTCTTTGAGCTGGTAACACAACAATCCTTGGCACTGGTCCTGAGGTCAGTACAGGGTCACCACTGACCATCCTCTTTCCCGGCTCAAAGAGACAATCTTCACTGCCCAACGACAGAGCTCACGGCCGAGCCACATCCAGTAATCCTCCTCCTCCTCCCCCTGATCTCTCGAGCTAAATGCCCAGCAGATCTGCCAGCAGGGCACAGGTAGGCAACCAGCGCCGGGTCTCCTCCTCTGCAGAGCACGTACACCTAGGCACACAAGCAAGCCAGAGCAACGGAAGCTTAGCTGGAGCCCAGGCGTGGCCGTGCCCTCCCCAGGCTGCCCTAAACACTACAGCAATGCCTCGTGGTACGTTCCTCGGGTGACAAACTCGTTTCGTACTTCACCACTTACCGTCACTGCCCACAGACAAAATCCAGAAGAGAACTGCCACCAACAGATGCGAAGCACTTGAAGTTAAGTGTTGGCAGCGTTCGTCTCCTTTGACCCGCTCCCTCCCGTGCTTGCGCACAACCCTTTGATTTAGAGCCATTTTTAAGCAGCCCCGCGCACTGCGCCGTGACCCCAACTGCGACTCGGACGCGCGCAGGCTTTTTTATTCAGCCGCTTGCACTAGGGGGCTTAAAAACACACGGACAAACAGAAAAGTCTGCCGCCGCTGCCCCCTTAGCGCTTAGGCAGAGCCGGAGGAAAGGCCAGTCGCGGCAGCAGATCATTTCCACCCGTGGGTTTCCATGTTGCCCCACCCGCCGAAGCGCCGGGGCGAGGGCCGCGGCCGGGGCGCGGGCAGCCCGATGAATGAAGCCCCCGTGGCCCACGCCGAAGCTGGGTCGCGGTAACCGATACGGCCAGGGACAGCCGGGCAGCGCCAGGGGCCGGCCGGTCACCTGCGGAGGGCGCCCGCATCTCCCCCGGCCGGAGGAGCCGCGCCGGGGGCAGCGCCGGCACGGCTTGGAGCGTCAGCCGGC